GGATCTGTGGGGTTGGAACCATTTAAAAGGGAGAGATCAGAGACTGGACAAAGAACCCAGGAAAAGGGCAGGAGGTAGAAATGTATGGACTAACGGGAACATTTGGGGGGAAAAAAAGGAAATCTGTGTCTCTCTTGCTGTCTCACATACAGGGTTATCGTTACCATCTTTCTAAATTCCACATATATGCGTTAGTATACTGTATTGGTTTTTCTTTCTGACTTACTTCACTCTTTTGGACTCTGTGGGAGAGGGCGAGGGCAGGATGATATGGGAGAATGGCACTGAAACATGTATATTATCATATGTGAAACAAACCACACAGGTTCGATGCATGATATAGGATGCTCAGGGCTGGTGCACTGGGATGACCCAGAGGGATGGGACGTGGAGGGAGGTGGGAAGGGGGTTCAGGATGGGGAACACATGTGGCAAAACCAATACAATGTTGTAATGTAAAATAAATTAATTAATTTAAAAAAAAAAACGGAAATCTGCCCTTAAAAGGCAGGGAAGGCAGTGGGAATCTGGAATAGACAGCACATGGACCCAAAGCAGATGCTGAGGGGGAAGGCTGACATGGGGAACACAGGGCTGTCTGCTACTGGTGAAGCTTCAGGCAGGTTGTGGGTGGAGTTCAAGAAACCCCCCAGAAAAAGAAAAGAAAAAGGAAAGAGCTAAGTAGGTAGGAGAAAGGCTGAAGACCACACAGTAAGAAGCCCCGAAAGGGAGGAATCACACAGCTTTAGCTGACGGTGACTACAGCGGAAGCCTCTCGGTCAGACAGAGGGCTCACCCCAAAAGGAGGATGCACAGTCGGGGATCTACCTCCTTCAGATCCTACCAGGTTCGGATATAAAGTATCAAAAAAAAATGCAACAATTCCATCAAGTTCTAAGACATAAGACGCGCATTCACTGCGCGCCAGCAAACACCTACAGAGCACTTGCACTGCACGAGGTCCTGCATGCACTCGAGGCGTGCGTCCCACCACAGGGGAGGGGTGCACGGGCTCCCCTTCACTGCACGAGGTCCTGCATGCACTCGAGGCGTGCGTCCCACCACAGGGGAGGGGTGCACGGGCTCCCCTTCACTGCACGAGGTCCTGCATGCACTCGAGGCGTGCGTCCCACCACAGGGGAGGGGTGCACGGGCTCCCCTTCACTGCACGAGGTCCTGCATGCACTCGAGGCGTGCGTCCCACCACAAGGGAGGGGTGCACGGGCTCCCTAAGGGACTGCAGCACGGGCAGGCTTCGGTGCCCGCGGGGGTGGGCGGGGTCTGGAGCCCTTCTACAATTCCCCGCAGACGCAACGACTGGGTGCTTCTCAGGCAAGCGTACACCTAACACTCGCATGCAAGTCTTGGCAAACTTTGTATTAAAAAACAGAAATGTCAGAACTCAAACATTTAAACTACTCTCCCCTCTCCTGGTGGTTTAACCAGATGTGCAGTACACAAACTTTTAAGGAATCCATGGAAGTTCTCTGTTCAAGCTCATCCTTATGCGGCGGCGGCATCAGCAACATTCTCCCTTCTAATAATTATATAATGAATAATTAGATCCTAAACCCCATTCCTTCTCCATGAGACACAGATTAAAAATAAAGGTCCAGCTGACTCTTTGCTACATTACTGACTCCTATTTAGTTCTCCTGCGTCCCTGATAACAATCTCTGTACTGCTTTCTTGCCCACCAAAACCGTCACTGGAGTGACTTGAACAACTGATCAAGGTTTCCACTTTGTGTTTGTGACTCGGGCGGGTTCTCTGGGACTCTGCCTTTTCACGTCATCTGTAGGCCTTGACATACACTTGGAAACAGTGCCACCTCTGGAGCTGATTTTCCATCATGTTTTAAGTTTAACAAATGCCACGAGATTAGGTTAATGTACTCTCTTTTTATGATTGTCCTATTAAACCTACTGTGTGTGGTGTTGTCAGTGTTGGATGATTTCATTATTCTCTCCCCACACCACAGAGGGGCTAGAGGCTTTTTAAAAATGGGGTGTTCCACTGTGTCAGTTCCTTTGAGGGGAAGAGTTGGGCTTGGCTGGCAGCAAAGAACTCTCCTAACCTAGGGCCGATGTGGGGTGGCGGGGAGCGGAGCCTGGTGGTGGTGACAACTAGCCTGCATGCTGACGGCGGCAGACTCAGGTGACATCTCTGGCGTGTGTTCCATGGGCTACCACCTCAGTCTCTCAGCCCACAAACCGTATGGTCTTTCAGGCCTTCCAGTAAAGTTAGAGACACTCATCTGACATTAAACCTGGCTCACAAATACCATTAGAATAGATTAAAAAGTGAGAGCAGTAGCAGCTACCAGAAGCATTTATTCAATGCTTATGATGTAAGTTGGGGCTTCAGCAGTAAAGAATTCACCTGCAACACAGGAGCCGCACGGGACACAGGTTTGATCCCTGGGTCGGGCTGGAGGAGGGCATAGTAACCCGCTCCAGTATTCTGGCCTCGGAAATTCCATGGACAGAGGAGCCTGGCAGGCCACAGACCACAGGGTTTCGAAGAGTCAGACAAGACTGAGCGACTCAGCTGAATCAATTTAGCATGGATTATGTAAATTAACTTCCACAGCCCCAAGAAGAAGACAGTAGGTAATACCTTTACTTTACAGATGAGGAAGCTGAAGCTGAAGCTGGAGAGATACAGAAATTTGCCCAAGGGCAGAGAAATTAAGTAGGGGAGCAAGGACTTGAATACAGGTAGGTTTGACTCTAAAGCCCAATTTCTTAACCATTCAAGAAGCCCAGATGAATTCCCTTCATAAGAACGGTGAGTCAGGTCTAAAGTGGATTCAAATCACATAGCTCCAAAGGGGCCTGGATACTACCACACTGACTGATGGTTTTGAAGCTTTATGTCAAGTCGGAATCAACAAGAGGATGTAATAAAGAGTGTAATAAAAAGATTATGGACCTAGAATAGGAAAGAGGATGATAACAAGTGTTGGTGAAGATGTGGAGAAATTCAAACCCTGGTAAACAGCTGGTGCAGCTGTTCTCTGGAAAATAAGTTTGGAGGTCTAAACATAGTTACCATGTGCCCCAGAAATCTCACTCCAAGTGTATACCAGAGAGAAATGAAGACTACCACTCGAAGTTCGTATACAGATATTAATAGAAGCATTATTCATAATGGCCCCAAGTGGAAACAACCCACTGTCTATCAACTGATGAGTGGATATATAAAGTGTGGTCTATTCATACAATGCAATGTTATTGGGAAGGAGAAAGAAATGAAGTAATACAACATGCTACAGTATGGATGAGCCTTGAAAATATGTTAAATGAAGGATGCCAGTAAGGAAGAACTGAAAATTGTATGATTCCACATGCATGAAATATTCAAAATAGGCAAAGCTATAGAGACAGAAAGATTAATGGTTGCCAGGGGCTGGGGCAGGGTAGAGAAGATTGTAGACTGATAAAAATGTCCTAAGCTGATTATGGTGGTGGCTGCATGTATCTGTGTATATACTAAAACCACTGATTTGCATATCTCAATAAAGCTGTTAAAAAAGATTACGGGTGCCTGTAGTTTACTTTGAAATGCATCAAAACAACAACAGATAAAGGATGGACAGATGGAAAGATACACAATAAAACAATACATTCATAGTAGGGGAGTTCACGGTACACTTTTCCCCAAGTCTGCAGTGTGTTTGAAAGTTTTATAATAAACACTGGGAAAAAATGACCATAGGTATTATAGCCAGGAGCATGTGGGTGTGAGTCCTTTGAGAATTCTACCTCTTAAAGTTTCATGGTCTCAGGTCAGCTCACTTTACATAGCAAATTCCTTCATCTGTAAACTGAGGTTAATAATCTACCTTTTAACATTCATTTGTGTACACAGGAGGTGTTAAAAAATGTGTTTCTCTTCTTTCCATCTTCAGTCTACTAAGAACACAGTGGCTGTTTTGAAAATGTTTCTAGTTCATAATGAAGAAGGTATCAAGTGAATACTTGCTCCCTGAAAAGAATTCATGGGAATCTGAAAACCTTTCTAACTAACCAAGTATTTCCTGTGGTGACTGATTCATGCCTTAGTCTCATTTTAGACTCATCAGCAGTCCACATCATTGTGCTAACTACAAAATAAATCCAGTATCTCACACCCTATTTTACATGTATCTAAGATGATCACTATTTCACATACCTCCCTCCTTTCCCCTTTAGAGTTGTTAAAAATCAGTATGTTACAAAGAGAAATACACCACAAATAAAGTATTGTTTGAAAGGTAAAAAAATTAGTTTCCTGACTATAAAGAATCTTAAATTCTAGGGAACAGAAGAAGCCTTGTTAAATCTCTTTCCATCAAGGAACTATTTCTACAACAGCCCTGACAAGGAATCTCTCTGTGAATACCTCCAGGCGCAGGGTCTCATTTTTCTTAAGAGTTGTTTTCACTGGTAGATAGATGCAACTATCCATCTAAAACTGAACTAAAACCTAGGAACTCCTCACTCACACCAAGGCCCTGTCTCAGCTACACACTCGCGATGCCTGCCTTCAGCAACAAGAGGTAGTTCCCATGGATTTCCATAGAACCAAACCTAGGTAAAGTCTTGACTGCACACACATCTGTCAGTATCTCTCTCTCGCGCGCCTCGTGTTATTTGTAAAGATGAGCCTGTATTCTATTCCGGGGGAAGGCACAGAAGGCAGGAGGTAAGGGCAAGACGCCTCAGAGCCTGGAGGCGGGAGCTAACCACTGGACAGCCAGGGCGGTCCCAGCATCCATCACTTTAAGGGAACAGGAATGGAGTGAACAGAAACTTGCCAGGTGCCGAGTGACAGGCAGATCACGACATAAGATACACTTTTTCTACCCCTCAAACTTTTAACACTTTAACATTTCTTTGAAATGCAACCCTTGAATCCTATATTCTCTTCCAGAATTTTAGATCCAAGCTGATGCAGACAGTAAGAATTCCCAATATAATTTTTTAAGCCCCTACTTAAGATTTACCAACCTGCTTTATTGATTTCTTTCACTGATTTAAGTTCTTTTCTTTTTTCTTTAGTATTTCTTTCAGCAAGGCTTTATAAGAGGCAATTTTATCTACATGTGTCTGAAAGTATCTTGCTTTCACCCTCTTCCTTGAAAAATAAAGCAGGTGGAACACAGGAGCCTACGTGTAGCTTTTCTTCCCCAGCCCTCTGGAGGTATCACTGCTATCCTCTGGCAGTATAATGTTGCATCTGTTTGGTCTGTTTCACACTCAGTCTCTTTCATCAACTGGATTTCCTCGTGATGTTGACAACTTTGGCTTGAGAGTATTCCATGGCATTCCCTCCTGCAGGTATCTCCTCTTTCAGGTTCCTTTTTGGGCTGTTTTGTGGCTTTGAGCTGTGACAAAACATGTTTTGCATACTTACACCTATGAATGGCTAAGATGATTTATTAAAGGACACTTGAGGCTGCCCCTCGGACTTTTTTTCAACCTGCCAGCAGAAGGGGAGAGTCTATAATTATGTAACACTATTGATGAGTCCATAATGCTGCAGATGAATCACAGTAAGCGCCAAAGTCTTTAGCATGTGTTTCTAACTCTTGAACCTTATAAACCACTGTCTGTCATATAAAGGTTACTAACACGTCAAAGGCTCTGGAAACCATGTTAGGACTGAATTTTGTTCACTTCACATTATATCTAAAGGCCCTCCACCTTCACTGCTTCTGCTTTGTACCTTTTTTTCACTTGAAAATGTTTTTACGCTGTCATAGTTTGCCCCAGACCATGGATCTGCTCATCCAGGCTTCAGACTCAAATCCTGACTCTGAAGAACACCAGTGTGAGTGACTCTGTTCACCTGTTAAGTCGTCTGTCTCCTCCCAAGGGTGGCTGTGAGGATTACACAGGAGATAGATGACAAATGCCTGGCAAAAAAAAAAAAGGCCCAAGCTCTGGTGAGCTGGTTCCAGGGGACTGCTTGTCAATCGCCACGGGATCCCAAGTGCTACATGGCTCCACTGTTCACGGCTTCCTGCTTCTGATTCTTTAATCTTTCATTTCTTCATCTGTCTCCATGTTCTTAGTTTCACATATTCCAGAATTTTCAGCACTCCCAGTATATTCATGTATATTCACGCTTTCCCTATGACATCACACAAGTGGGTTTATGGGGCAGGCATTCTGTCCTTCTCCACGCTGGGCACAAAACTCCTACTTCTTGCCTCCTCATCGGGAGGGCCAGCACAAGCACACCAACGGCTCCGGCCATCTCCCTGGCTCAAGTCCACCAGGTGACTCAACTAACTGAACTAGCTGGCCTGTTCCAAGCTGTCCTTTAAATTGGTAAAAACTCTCCTATCCGCCTTCCTTTCATGGCATGTGTTGTGTATGTGTGTGAGGCAAAGTCTCTTGAATAAATTATACTGGGTCTTTGCAAACCTCCAGAAAGAGTTGAGTTGAAAGTGTTAATCCTTACCCTGGGTTACCATGCCCTTGCAGAAAAGGAAGGCTTTCAGAAGCTGAACAATTTACTCACAGTTACATGGGAATTAACAGCAACATCCCCTCAGGCTGAGTCTTCTTGAATGGGAAAATGTAACTGTTGCTCCCAAAGACAGCGCTTTATTAGCAGGTAGCTAACTAGCCAAGTAGCTCTGGTGTAAGCAGAAGCGCTCCATTTCGCAACAGAGGAGACACAGAGAGGAGACACAGACAGGTTACGAGCCTAGCGGAGGTGACACAAAGCTGCAGAATTCAGGGGTGAGGCAAAACCCACAAAGGGTCCAGTTGAAACGGCCCCTTTAATTCATCCACTAGTAACTACCAGCGTTTGTTTCCCCTCTTCAAGTCACAAGAATTACCTGGAGAATGATGACTTTCTGAAAGAACAGAAAAGTTGCAGCTGTTGTTGTGCAGTGGAAATCCTATCACACTCACACAAACAGTTGTGTCTGGGTTACCACAGTAGTAAAGCACCTCCAATCTGCAGGGACCGCCAGGGAGGAGACGGAGAAAGCCATATACTTTGAGGCTTTTGCCAAATGTGATGAACAGAGAGGTTGGCAAGATGCCCCTGGTGCCGTGCAATGCCGCCCTCTGGGCTGTCTCAGTTCCCTGAAAGAGCTCGACTGGCCTGTTATTACTAAAACATTTTCCCTAATTTTCCCACCTGGGTCAGGGAAGTTGGTCCCTCAGCTCTTTTCACAACCTGCAAATTGAAAAGCACAAACCTGACCAGGCTTAGCCACTTCTACTCAAATATTTTTTTTCAGTGCTTCCAGCCTGAGAAACTTACATAAACATGTGAAATTACAGTCTGCAAACAGACTAGCCCAAAGAGCCCAGTAAAAAGTGATGTGGTATTATTTGGGGTGGTGGAGCATGCGGGGTGGAGGAGTTTAGGGTTCAGTCTAACCAATTAATCACTGTAAGCATCGAAACATCAAAAACGCCAGCAAAGATAACGAGAACAATAGCCACCTGGCCCACTATGCCTTTTTATTGTGCAGTGTCTGCCTTGGAGACTCATCAAGACACTGCTCAGTAATCCTCACATCCTTCCTCGCTGGGAGGTACTTCGAGATGTTAACTTAGAAAGGGGAGGCTGAGAAAAAAATGCCACAACTTTCCCCTGCTAGTGAGGTGTAAGAGGATGAGAATTGCTTGCTTCATGCTTCTTGCTGTTTAGATTTTATTATTGTCTTTATTTATAACTTCCACCCCACTCCATACTGTTAGTCAAATGAAAAATCTAAACAATGAAAGGAAGGAAGAAAATACTCTCACCAACTTTCCACTCCTCCCATTTTGAATATTATAAACTCTTTTGCTCCCTTTATCATTCAGTGTTTACTTCCAGTCTGAATTCTAAAATGGAGAAGTCAGATACCTAGGGAATTCATACAAAGAACACCTCCATTCTCTCCTTAAATGTTAATGCCAAAACAGCAGAGGGTGAAAAAAGGGGAAGTAAACTGTGAATCAGCCTTTCATGTATTATTTTTTAAAATCAAGAACTCCCTGTAAGGGACTTGTAACCCCTTTATATGGCACTGCTTAAACTCTCTGTGGACATGAGGGGTGGGTGTTCTTGACCCTACTAGTATGTGATTTTGACTGGCACATGCTTTTCATGTGATTTAACATGGAACACATAGCATAAGATAAATAATCTCATTTTGAGACTTCTAACTTAAAAGTCCTTCCTAAATCATTACAACTCAAATGGAACGTTGACAGCTAAATATGATTTGAGCTTAACTATTTAGTAAACAGAAAGCCTGAACATGGAAAGATCTTTTCTGAAAAAAGTAGAGTATATCGTATTTGAGGAGGCGAAATTCTTCCCCACCAAGATGCAACTGCTCTGTCTACAAAGTATTAAAATACATCTAGATTTTTTTTTCCCAAAAGGAATTCAGAGAAATTTATTCCAGGCTTTTAACAACAGGATCTGAGTCTAATCTAGTCTGACCACAAGAATCCATCTGGGTTAAGTTCACCAGTGGGGTGCTTCACCCTTAGGCAACCTACTTTCCCCCTCCCCCCAAGCTTATTTATTTTTTTTATTTTAAAATTAATTAAAATTTCTTTTTTCAAATTTTGGACTTCCCTGGTGGTCCAGTGGTTCAGACTCTGAGCTCTCAATGGAGGGAGCATGGGTTTGATACCTGGTTGGGGAACTAAGATCCCACAGGCTGTGTGTCCAATAAATAAAATAAAACTTAAAAAAAAAAAATTTTTTTTTCAAATTTTTATTTAACACCAAAAACATTTTGTATCAGGAGACAGTCAAGAAGACATCTAGATTCTGCTGCAGGTTTACAATGCATAAATGGATACTGGTCTTGGAAAGTGGAAATTCCCAGCTGGTCCTGGAAACTGGTCCAATTCATCCATTGGATTAGTCAACACAGTAGGCACCTTCCTAGATCAAAGACAAGCCAGGGCTCTTTGGGCCGCATTCCTGACGAGTGAGAGAGCTGGGTGAGCGCACAGTTGGGAATGCACCTCCACTCTGGGTGTGGCTGAGTCTGGAGCCATCTCTGAGAGCCTGTGGGGCTTCCCTGATTGGGCAACAGGTCACTGGGACAGGATGGCTGAAGAATCTTGTGGAACAGGTATTGAGAGGAACAGGAAGGACTAGGTCCCAGGCCAACCAACAGGCAACCATGGCAGCAGATGAGTGCATTATCTCCCCAGGCGTCCTAGAGACCCGAGGCGGTTTCTGACAGGCTGGAGAATGGGCAGATGCTGGGGGGTGGTGGTGGTGGTGGTGGTGGTGGTGGTGGTGGTGGTGCTGGAGACAGGACGCGCAGTGGGAGCCTGAAGGTGCCCCTGGCTGAACTGGGGGGAAGCAAACCGATTTCCCCTCCTTACGTTTTGTTCCCTTAGTTATGTCGAGGCCCAAAAAGAGGCTAGGAAAGACTCCACTAGCCTTCAGTTGAAAAGGAAAAAGCACAGTTTCAGTTCCCAGTCAATAACAACCAGTCCCCCCAGCTTTCAGGAGAGGCAGTGCATTATCTTAAAAGATGAAAAGCAGCAGATGCCTCAAGCACAGAGGGAATAAATAAAGGCTACAGGGGGAGACGGTGACGACAACTTTCTGATATCCTGGCACTGTTCACACCATCCTGGCTGCCCCCAAGACACTGCCTCCTTTAGTAATCACCACAACCCTGCACCATAGACACCAGTACCTTGTGTTTAGGGAGGAAACTGGGCTTAGGTGAGCCACACGGGTCACAGCACTCATCAGCATCAGAACTGGCAGCTAATTCAGGCCTGTCCAACCCTATTAATTAACAAAGCCATGGCTTTATTTGCTCGCCCTCCCCGTCCGTCCTTCTTCCCTCCCACTCCCACTTCATCACCTCTCCGGGGCTAATCTGGGAGGAGCGCATCTGCATGAAAAGTCTCTCAGATGGAAGATCTTGCCCTCTGAATGAAGCTCTGTCTCCTAGGTGCACTTCTCAGTTGGGCTTTTTTCCCCTCTTATAAATGAAGAACCAATTTGAGCCAATATTTTCAGTTTCTATTTCAAGCTTACAGCCAAACCTGGTCTGCATACCCTCTGCAGACTCTCAGATTGACTGACAGTTGAGAGACGGGTTTAACCCAAGGAATATGGGGCTACCACAGCTGTATCTGACCGTATCTCTGTCTTACGCCCAGTGATAGTAAAATAAATTCACACTTAACAACAGCCTCTCTGGTTAGCAGTCCAGTGGCCGGCGCCGAGCCGGCTGGGCCTCGCTGCCAACTGCCCCGCAGTGTGTGACAGCTGCTCATGGGGACGGGCTCCTTCTGTACTTCTGCTCTAATGACTCAGTGCGACTTAAAATACCCCTGGGCTTAATACAAACAGTCTCAGAAGCCGATTTCCAAAGAACAGCAATCCTCTTAAAATAGAAGCTTTCAAATGGCATTATTGCTCATCAACACCAGGAGGCTTTTTTGCCTGCCTTCATGCAGGCAGTAGCTGAGCAAAATTCTGGGTCAGATTCCCTATGGGAAAAACGACAAAACAAACCTGTAAGATTACTGATGGACTGTTTTCCTAGCTGTCTCCTGGTTTCAATGCACTCTGCCACAGCGAAACTTCTTCCTACAGTAGCTCAACATGGTACACTCAATTTGGGAACAGGGCTAAACCTCCAGCTTTTAGCAGCGAATTAAATATATGTTAAACCATTTTACTTGTGACCTGGCAGAAGTCACTTTATCTTTCTGGGTCTCAGGGGACTCATCTGTGGAATGAGGTTACACTAGATATCTAAGGGCCCCCTCTATCTCTGAAGTAAAGTGAACCCAGTTGCCACTGAATCAATATGTAATAATACTCTAACGGGATGAAGAGATTAGATGGACAAAGAGAATCTGATGTCAGCACAGATCCCATCACTTTAAAAAAAAAAAAAAAAAGGCTATATATCTTGTCTCCTGCCTTCTCAGACATACAATCCCACTCATATCTGAGAGTCCAAAGCAAAGCGCAAAGACTAAACACCTAGTTAGGGGCCCAAGGTTGAGGCAGAGTTCAGATCCAAGCTCTGCGACACAGACTGCCTGGGCTAAGTGTGTGTGGTGAAGACAAACTCCACTCGTGGCACAATCATGTGGGTGAAGAGAGGTTTCTGAGTAATTCTGATGATTCCAAAGAAGATGATCTTGGGCAAAACTCTTTTCCCTGGTGCAATTCACTGGGGTAAGACCTATGGGAAGCACTCACCAGTGAACTGACTGACGGTGTTGAGAATGGACTCTGAAAAGGGGGCAATCAGGATGGGGTAATGGAGGTTTACTTAAGTAGGGGTCCCTTATTATTCACCTAAAGTGTTGTACAAGCTTGAGAAAACTTTCCAGAGCTGTGCATTCACAGAATTTTATAGAATATGTTAAAAATAGGGAGAACTTTTACAGAAACAGACACTGGGTCTTCAAAAAGGCCCTAAAATTCATGCTTCTTAGAGCTAGACTCTAGGTTAGTCTGTCAATCAGACAGATTTCAGGGTTGACTTTGGGAAAACACTTGTCCTGGGATGAAGAGATCCCAGGCTCTGGAGTCACATTAAACTGGGTGTGATTCCTGGCTTTACCATTTACAGAATAATCTTTGGCAAAATTTAAAACTTCACTGGGTTTCAATTTCCTCATCTGTAAACTTGGGTTTAGGGTTTCCCAGGTGGCTCAGAGGTAAAGAACCCACCTGCCAATGCAGGAGGTGTGGGTTTAATCCCTGGGTTGGGAAGATCCCTTGGAGAAGGAAATGGCAACCCACTCCAGTATTCTTGCCTGGAAAATCCCATGCACAGAGGAACCTGGAGGGCTATAGTCTGCGGGGCTGCAAAGAGTCAGACATGATTGAGCGACTGAGCACACAAAATTGGGTACAGTGTACCTACAGGTCCACCGTGAGGATCAGCAAATATGCAGGAAACAGCTAGCACAGTGGGCATCGGAGGAGTTTACCGAATGCTGCCAGAGGTACAGTCCTCTTCCTTCCCCTTTAACACTGTGCCTGGCCTCCCTCCTGTCAACTCAGATGTTAGTAAAACAAACTAAAGCAGAGAAAATAAGCAGAAACCCATCGAGAGCAGCCATGGACATTAACGGGTTTCTTGGTCACAGAAGAGTCTCATAAGTCTATCCTTTCCAAGCCTGGAATAGAGTAGAAATAGCAATCCATGGAGAGAGGCTGCTGCAGGCAGCTCACTCAGAGTGTGGAGAAGGTGGAAAGGAGAAAGAACAAACTGAAAAGGCAGCTGACAGAAGTGCAACAAGCAGGCTGCCCAGGACCACTGACTGCAGAAGCATGTACGCTTCTACCTTCACTGGGCTGAGAGTATCCTTCTAAGCTAGAATACTACTGTTGTCAGCTATTTCCAATCACGTCAGATTCAACGTACTACTCTGTTAAAAGAAGGGAGAGAAATGTGGCAAAAATGCTTAAAATGTGAAAAGTTGTGGTGCCTTAAAGAATACACTACAATCCGTGGCGGAAATCTCATTTATGTAAAACAGTCCAAAGACCAACAAAATTAGATAAATATATTAACCGTGTAAAGACATATGGAATAGAGGAGAATTCCCTTATTGCTCTATACATGGAAATACTGGTGCATCGAAATAATTGAGTAAAACAGTTGTTGACTTTTCCACTGCTTTTCTTGGGGAAAAAAAAAAAAGATTCCGTTTAAAAAAAAAAGACCCCTCTCAAGCTGAAGTGATGTGACAGATATGTCTTCCTCCTGCCCCTTCTGTTTTTGAAAATTCCCAAGTTCCCTTTATTCTCTCTTCATTCCAGAAAACTAGGCATTCACTTACTACCAAGAATCCAAAATGCAGTGAAAGAAGTACACTTCACCTTACGTCACAAGTGGCTTGGATGTGATTCTTTTAATGAGGTACTAATGAGGAGCTAAAAGTTCTGTCCTGTCTGTGAATTATTTTAAATGGACACAGAGGTGGCCTTGGGAGACTTGTTTTTCAACTCCCTGATTTTCTCACACTGGCCTACACCAGACTTGAAGGCATAACAAACTCTATATGAATTTTAAGCTTTGGAAGAATTTAAAAACTGGAATGTTTTGCTATCCTTTCAAAATAAAGAGGGCAAAGCAGGCAGTTGTTTTTCTGAGCAACTGACCATGGAACGCCCAGGTCTCCATGTTCAGGGCAATGTATTTTAATAGCAGCAGGAACAGCTGCTACCTAACATCAATCAAGCACTATGGAGCCAGGCACTGAGCTACGTGCTGTGCGTAAGTTATTTCATTTAAATGGCACAATCAGCCTATAAAGGACTATTACTATTTCTATGTTAGAGATGAGGAAATCAAGACTTAGAAAGGTTAAGAATCTTGTCCAGTTTTCAAGATTAGCAAGTGGCAGAACTAGAATTTGAACCTGGGAATTAGGCTTAAGGTGGTACAAAGTATCAGGTGTTTTTAGAATCTGAGTATGTGTTAGAGTGCTCACTGCTTTAGATACTGTTTTCTGAGTATACTCTGTGTGTGTGCTCAGTTATGTCAGACTTTGCAACTTCATCAACTGTATGTAGCCCGCCAGGTTCCTCTGTCCATGGAATTTTCCAGGCAGGAATACTGGGGTAGGCTGCCATTTCCCTCTTCATCTAAGTATATTAAAGAATATATAAAACAATGACATAAGAACAGTCATTCACTTGCTTTTAGAACTTAATTTCTCTCTCCCACACTTCTCTTTTCTTCTCCCTTCAAGTCTTAAGTCAGAATTGAAGGACAGAAGAGTGAAGATAAGAGGTAGGACTGAGTGACACTTTTACCACCTGCAAGGAGCTTGCTGCTCTAACTCCTCTCAGAACTAACTGAACAGGTGAGCAATTAATCTCAGGCCCTGAAATTACCTCGTAAAAGCAAACTTAAAAAAAATCACTTTTATTATTTTTCTTTCCCCAAGAGGTAAAGGGACCTTAAGAAACTGTTCAATCCTTGACACGACAGTAAAAGTTCTGCAACTCCAGACGGAAGCGGGACAGGACCAGATGCAGGCCTTTAGGGCCTAACCTGTGGCTGTTAGCAGGACGCGTGGCTCCTGTAATACTGGCCCTTACGTCTGTCTCAGAGAGGTGGCCTGTCTCCGGCTGGATAGTATTTCTACTGCGTTGCATGCATGCGATGGAAACGCAGAGGAAAAGACACACATGTGGAGGCTGGCTAAGACTGGTCTAACATGAATACAGTGTGTGATATGAAACACAAAGAAGAGACCAGCTCCTACCCTGAGCACAGATTATGACTCAAAGCACTCAGCCCTTGGAGAATTTTCTAACTACTGTAGAACCGTTTCATGTTTAAGTCCACTCTCATTCGAAGAGCTGCCAATTCATGGAAGTAACAGACAGGCGTATCTAGATTTATTTCCAGTCTCAATCTTTCTGTATCAATTGCCCAGATAAGTGTGTTTAAAGTCAAATATCTACAAGGTTCAGTACATTTTGGCTGGGTTCTATCTTTGACTTCTACAGAGTTCAGAGGGTTATAGATCTTTTCAGTTTCATGCAGTAGAGCTATGGGCTGCAATGGTTTGTGATACTGGGATTGTAAGAAAGTAGGTGGAATGCCTTAGAAAGCCTGGGCTCCGTTTGGAAGTTGAAGACGGGAGGGCTACAGTGATGGGTTTGCGATCTTGGGAGTCATTTAACTCTTCTGGCTTCTCTTTTGCTCTCTATGAGGAGAACTCATGCCAACATCACACAACGTATCTAAAGTGCTGTGGATGCTCCAGAGAAAGACTCTCTACACAGACCTTTTAAAGCTGCATCTCTGCAGACACAGAGAACAGACTTGTGGACACGGGAGGAGAGGAAGAGGGTGGGATGAATCGAGAGAGGAGCATGTTAACATAGATACTATCATGTATTTAGAACTTGAATTCCGTATCACTTACCTATATCGCTCCTCCTGTAAGGCCTGCATTGTTAATGAATAGTCCCTCTGATAATGTTCCTTGAGGGTCTCAAAGGATTCCTCGAGTCGGGCCTGTGTTTCCCGGATCTCCTGGACCTCGTGGAGCAGTGCATCGAGTCCTGAGCTCTGCATGTCCAGGGTGTTGGTTCTGGAGCTGGACGCTCCTACGGCGAGGCCGGCAGTGCTGTTGGCACCCACTGAGCCCGAGGTGGCGCTGGAACAGTCTTCCTCACTCCCATACTTGGGGCTGGACTGAAAGGTGGAAATGGCCCCCAACGCCTTCCCCGGCTCGTCCACCTGCCCTTCCTCTAAAGAGTCCTTCAGGCTGGGGATGTTGTCGGCGCTGCCAAACTTATTCCGAATGAGAGACGCGATCTCCCTGGGCTTGGAGACCACGGCCCCGGCGGCTGAGTGGGTTGCCTGGGAGAAGCTGGACAGCCCGCCCTTGACGCTGTCCACCACGCCTTCGCTGAAGCCAGTCACCTTGGCGCCCACGTCCTTCAGCCCCTGGTGCATGTCCCTGAAGACGTCCTTTGGCTGCCGGGGGATCCCATTCTGCTCCACCTCCCGGAGCTTCCGGTGGTAGTGTTCGAGCTTCTTCTGCAGCTGCTGGATGGTCTGGGCTGATTTCTGGTTCTTCTTCTCAAAGACCTGCTTGATGCGGGCGGCCTGCTGCTTGTCTGCGCTGTTGGCCAGCTTCAGGTACTCGGCCACATTGTCGTCCCGGGCCGTCTGTGCAATCTTGATTTGTTCCGTGAGCTTCAGGATCTTCTGTTGCAGGTGGGCAATAGCAGCCTTTGTGCGCTGAGGGTCTGGGGTTCCATCCACCGAGTCTGTGTGAAGGCTGCCATCTGTGCTGGAGGCCACCGCACTGGAGGTCTGGGCGAGGCTGCTTACTTCCAACCGCTCGATCTGGTGTGAAAGCAAGAGGGGGAGGTTAGAAGGAGCCCAGGAGGACCCGCTCTATCACCATCGATGGGCCCCAGTGTACTGAAAAAATTCACCTACTCAGCACAGAGTGTTCTAATTGTTCAAGTTACTCAGTCCTATCCGACTCTTTGCGACCCCGTGGACTGGAGCCCACCAGGCTCCTCTGTCCATGGGATTCTACAGGCAAGAATGCTGGAGCAGGTTGCCATTTCCTCCTCCAGGGGATCTTACCCACCCAGGGATTGAACCCACACCTCCTGCATTGGCAGGTGGATTCTTTACCGCTGAGCCACCGGGGACGCCCACTCAGCACATAGTGCTGACCCAACTCCTCCTGTCCTGTACCAGCCTCCTAGACCGCTTGGATACTGTCCCCAAACAAGTACACTTTACTTCAAGCAAAACAAATACAGGAGAAAAGATTTGCAGAAGCTGGGATCTGTGCAAAAGGTATTCGTCTTCTGCTAGAGGATTTCTTACAGTATTCCTTTATATAATAAAACTCTCCTAATGAGTTTAAAGCATGAATTAATTCACACTCAGCACACATACTTGTGTTCAGAAGTGTATCTATGTACAACATAGTACACCTGCATTTCAATTTAATCGTAAGAAAACTGCCTCTGTATTCACACATCACTGTATTCCAATTCTTGCTTTCAGATTACAGTCATCTGAAAATGCTGGTGAGAAAGGTTAACTTAAGTGGCTACATATAAAAATCCAAAAATCCAACTGTTATCACAGTGTCTTTTTAATCAAACTATATCAAGGGGTACAGAATCATTCTGTCTGTTCCAACAGGGACATTAAATTGGAAGTTGGAGGCATGTGAAGGGGAGAACGGGAAGGTCCTGCTGAAAGTGGCAAGCATGAACATGGTATGGGCTTGAAAGTTAAAAGCCCAAATCACAAGTAGCTGTGATAAACTTGGGCAAGGTAACATGAACCATCTGGGACAGAGACAGAAGAGGTAAGTAATTAAACAAGTCAGGGACTAAGTTCAGACCTTCCTTGTGAAGCTCAAATTTTTTGCCCTCTGTCCACTCAAAAATTTTTATTAGGCAAGGGACTCCAAAACACATACAATGACTATCTTCTGGTGTGTGTGCATGCAACCATTCAAGGGAGCCAAAGAAGAAGACAAATTGTTCAGATTTGAGAACTTCAACTATCATACTTCAAAGATACCAGGCCAAAGCTAAGAGAAGGTTGTGTTTCTCCAAATCACGAGAAAAAAGCCCTTCAAGAAGGTGTGCCTGGATGTGGCCTGTGGTGATGAACTGGGGCAGGGCCCATGCAAAAAAAGGATGAGATGGTTGGATGGCATCACTGACTCAATGGACACGAGTTTGAGCAAGCTCCAAGAGATAGTGAGGGACAGGAAAGCCTGCGTGCTGCGGTCCGTGGAATCACAAAGAGTCGACACATCTGAGCGACTGAACAATGGCAACCATGCAAAAAGGCTGTAGACACTGCTCTATTGAGCAGTAACAGTAAGAAATAATGAAATAACCATTGTGGGGCAATAAAAATTCCCACTAGGAGCAACAATGTACAACTTCACCATCCTGGAGAAAGAGGGGCACATTCTTTCCCATCCCTAATCTTGTTTACCAGTAAGCAAGGTGGTAGCAAGAACTATATATAGGTTATTCTCATATTCTGAAAGGCCGACGATAATTTTGTAGTAACAGTAATACGCCAAGTCTGAAATGTTCATGAAATGCTGACTATTAACTTGTCGGTCTAGAGGCTCATCCTCCCTTTCCCATCCTGGCTGTACCTCCTCAGTTTGCGGTCTGAGCAGGGACCATGCCGATCTCTAAGACACATGCAGTTTGCGACTGGGTTCAATCTATTACTACTGATGTGAATAGCAAACAGTATTATTTTCCTTCCAGATGAACAGATGTGAACTACTGTATGCTGAAATAAAAGCAAAAGATAATCTATAACTGAAACGAGTAACAAAAATGACATTATGCTCCACTAACAAAGCGAACGTGCACAAGAGTCAGGGACGAGCACGATAACCGTGCCGGGCCCCTTCTCCATCCACCCTGATCATCGCGAGGTGCCTGAGAATCAGTGTGGAAGGGCCGGGGGGAAGGCAGCAGAGGGGAAGACGAGCCAGGGTCCCAGCTAATCGAGCTGCCCAGAGGTAGAGCAGAGGCTCCTGGAAACCCACCCGGCCCAGGGCCTCAGGGTCACTCTCTCAGGCTGCACAGAGCTCCCACGCCGTGCTCTTCTCGCTGAATGGGATTTCAGACCCTGTAACTACCGTGCATATAGTTACATGACCCTGACTGTGTGCTTATGCTTGACAGCTCCCCATCCATCACAGTGCAAGGAAGGCAAATCCGAAACACCTCTAGATTGAGGACCACAAGCTTATGCATGGTCTAGTTTTCTTAGGCTCTTTCTTATCAATCTGAATATCAACTTCTACGCATCCTGTGTGTGTGAAGTGTCGCCGTGGAAATCAAGTGTCACTGTTACTCTGGGAGGACACACACGGATCATACTGCTCAAAAGAGAGCGCTGGGACTAGAATCGAGCTGTTTTAAACGTGTTTATGATTTGTTTTTTGAACTACATCTAATTCACAACGATGTCTCATTTCTGCTGTGGAGCAGTGACTCCGCTATACGCACAGATACACCTTGTCTTCCATCGTGGTTTATCACAGAATACTGGATACTGTTCCCCGTGTGATAGAACAGGACCTAGGACCTTGCTCTCAGAATCAAGGTTTGATTCCATCGCTACAATTGCAAAAACCTACATAAAGGTTCAATATATTTATTTACAAATGATCACAGTTTAGATGTGATCTTACTTCCCTGCACAGCAACTGAAGAGATAACCCAGACTCTCTCTACTCTGACTTCTCTATCTGGGTTGTCTGGAGCCCCACTGCGTCCTTCGCGTGCCTGATTCCCCCTTAGCATCAGCAATATGCCTGCGAGAATACAGCTGACAGAATCCACTGTCTGCAGCCTCAACAAAGAAGACTAACCCTCAGTTTCAGCACAAGGGTAGTTTACACTTGAAACCATGAATCCCTGGGTTACCCAGTAACTCTTCCCAATTTGGGCAGGTACTATTATTAAAAAGGAAGAAGAGCAAGAGAAATCGGGAGAAGGGAGGGGGCAGAAAGAAAAAGGAACAAAGAGAAAGATATACTGAACTGCAGAATTACAGGACAGGGGTGGGAAAGCTCTCCTGGTATCGACAGTGCTGTGAACCAAGTCCTTGGTGGCCTGAATACTTAGCACTGGAAGGGCTGACTTAGCCATGAGTTGTAAATGTACCAGCTGCAAAGTTCGCTTTCCCAAAAGTCTTTGCTAGTGTACGAGGCTCTCCACATCTAACAAAGTAAAATTTCATTACTACTTCACTCCAGAAAAACAACTAAATTGCCAATATGAAAAGAACATTTTAAACCTTTTCAGAAGGCAGTAGTGGAAAACAGGAGAGGGTTTTCTTAACAGGAAAAGGCACAGATCAGAAAAACAAGACTATTAAATCTGGCTACAGTTCCTATAGCAGGGAAGCACGGGTTCTGGCATAAACTGCTCAGATTCAAAACTGGCTTTGCTACTTACTAGACACGCAACACTAGGCAAGTTGTTCAACGTCTGTGTTTGTTTCGTCAACTGTACAACAGGGATAGTACTAATGCACACAAAATCACACTCACAAACAGCTTGAAAAAGCACTGATATACAAGTAATACTCATGACAATAATCCTGGTCACCTGTGAACTTGGTGCTACGAGTCCGGTTTGTCTCAAACAGCCCTTTTCTGGGGAGAACCACTTAAGACTCCACTGTCTTTTCTACTCCAGCACTTTTCAGGTCTATCTTCATGAAAAACACAGTTGTAAAATCATCTCGTGGGTGATACTGCGTATGTGACAATTCACTGAAATGTGAACTCTGGTGGGGTTTGCTCACTAGCTTTGGAGCTGCTGATTCCCACCATATGCCCCAGCAAAATTGTGACCAAAAAAAACAGAACAAACCAAAACTGTACCATGGGT